ACGCAAACACTCAGGAGAAAATTAGATCTTGCATTGTTATTAAAGGACTAGACTCTTTCTTCTGTTCACAGGCTAGTGAGGGAGACCTGGCTGTGGCACAAGTGGATCTGGGCCTGGGACAAGGCGAGGAAATGAGCCTGGTTGTAGGGTCAGTTTACATGCCCTATGACTCGGCTGAACCACCTCCTTCGAAAAAAGTAAAGGACCTATGCAACCATGTGAAGGAAAGGGGACTTGAACTCCTGCTAGGTTGTGATGCCAACTCGCACCATGTAGCATGGGGGAGCACCGGCATTAACGGCAGGGGGGAAAGCCTCCAGGAATTCATAATGGGGGCCGGTCTAAACATCCTTAATAGGGGGTCAGAACCTACCTTCATAGATCGGAGACGACAGGAGGTCATAGATATCACTCTGGGGACGGATAGAGTGGCAGACATGATTGGGGACTGGAGGGTCTCAAAGGACCTCTCAGCGTCCGATCATCAAACCATAAGAATGTCCATCCACACAGTGAAAGAAACGGAATGGGTGAGAAACCCAAGACGAACAAACTGGGGAAATTACCGAGAGAGTCTATCTGACAATCTCAGGGATATCATCCTCAGATTTAACAACAAAAAGCAGCTGGAGGAGGCTTCGATTGCCCTAAACCAGGCCATCATGGACTCCTTCGAGACAAACTGCAAGCTTATCCCGAAAGGGCAGCCCACTGAGACTCCTTGGTGGTCAGAGAGGCTCGGTGGGCTGAGGGGCAAAGCTAGAAAAGCTTTTAACAAAGCTAAGAACATGAGAGCGGGCCCCCGTAAGGAAGACGCATGGAAAACTTACAGAGGCTTGCTCGCAGATTACAACAAGGCAATAAAGGCAGCCAAAGAGGACTGCTGGAGGGCTTTCACAAGCAATGTGGAGAGTCAATCGGAGACCTCTAGGCTGGCAAAAATCCTTGGAACAAACAAGACTCCATATCTAGGGAGCCTACAGGCACCAGATGGCAGCCACACGGAAACCATGGGAGAGACTCTGAAACTCCTAATGAACACCCACTTTCCAGGCTTCATACAGGCCCAGGAGAGAGATAAAGAAACAATGCAAAATCAGAGGGATGTCTACGAAACCCATGATTGGGCATTGGCAAATAAAGTAGTGCAGCCCTGGGGGGTCAAGTGGGCCATCAAAACCTTTGAACCCTTCAAGGCACCGGGACCAGACGGGATCTACCCAGCCCTATTACAGGAAGGGATAGAGACTATCACGGGACCCCTAACCAAGATACTCAGAGCTAGTATAGCCCTGAAACATGTCCCTAGTGTGTGGAATGAGACTAGGATAGTATTCATTCCCAAGCCGGGAAAAACCGGTTATATAAAACCAAAAGACTTCCGTCCTATAAGCCTCACATCCTTCATCCTGAAGACCCTGGAGAGGCTGGTGGATAGACACATCAAGGCCGGGCCCTTGGCTGACAGACCCCTCTCCCCCTGTCAATATGCATACAGAGAGGGACGATCAACAGATACCGCCTTACATCACCTGGTGGGACTGATTGAGGGACAACTGGCGGTCAAGGGTTTTGCCATAGGCGCCTTTCTGGATATTGAGGGGGCTTTTGATAGCACTTCGAATCCGGCTATAGAAAAAGCCATGGAAGAACGACAGGTGTCCAAGACTATCATTGCTTGGACACAAAACATGCTGAAAAGCAGAAGACTGTCGGCAGGACATGGGAGGGCATGTGTGGAGGGACGTCCGACTAGGGGCTGTCCGCAGGGGGGAGTTCTCTCGCCCCTGCTATGGAACCTGGTTGTAGATGGACTTCTAAATCAACTAAGTGAGGCCGGCTTCCACGTCATCGGTTTCGCCGATGATGTGGCAGTTGTTGTGAAAGGCGGATTTCTGAGGGTGCTAAGGGACCTGATGGCAACAGCCTTCAATATCATTGAGGACTGGTGCAGGGTAACTGGCCTATCGGTAAATCCAGCCAAAACAACAATCCTGGTTTTCACCAGAAATTATAAACTGGAAAAGATCCAACCTCTGAAGCTAAATGGCTCGGAGATTAACTACACCAGCAGAGTGAAATATCTGGGTGTCCTCCTGGATAATAAACTCAGCTGGAAAGAACATATCTGTACTCAGAGAAATAAAGTGTTTGCCTCTATGTGGGCATGCAGGAGAGCTGTGGGCAGGACATGGGGACTCAATCCTAAAATGATGCTCTGGCTCTACCAAATAGTTCTACTTCCGAGACTGTTATACGCTGCGGTCGTTTGGTGGCCGAGGGTGAGTAAGACGGAAACAAGGAACCTGTTGAAAAGCCTACAGGGAACCTTCCTGAGGGCTGCAACAGGAGCCATGAAATCGACACCTACTGAGGCGCTAGAAATAGCACTCAGTATCCCACCCCTCGACCTTAGGGTTGTGAGTTGTGCTACCACAACTGCATATAGACTAAGGTGCCAACTAGAATGGAAGATGACGGGCCAAGGCCATACAAGGCTTAGCCTAATCAATGATCGACCCTTCATAGGTAAGACGGATAGGATTCCTAGGAAGTATCAGATCAGGAAAACTTTCAGAACGAGTATACCACCCAGACAGGAGTGGCTAGACTCGAAACGTAAACCAGGACCAAGAGAGGACTACTGGTTTACGGACGGCTCTGGCTTCAATGAAAGTTTTGGGGCAGGCATCTACCGTCTGAAAGATGGCTTCGGAGAGAGTTTTCCGCTGGGCCATCATTCAACCGTCTTTCAAGCAGAGATGCTGGGCATACTTAAGTGTGCAGAGTATCTGAACGCGAGAGACACAAAAAAGATGAAAATATTCATCTGCAGTGACAGCCAGGCGGCGATACACGCCCTGGAAAAACCCACTACAGAGTCACAGGTGGTGTGGGAATGCATGCAGGCATTGGACACACTGGGTAAAAACAACCGGGTCACCGTAACCTGGGTGCCAGGTCACCATGGGATTCTGGGTAATGAAGAGGCAGATAAGCTGGCCAAGGAGGGTACAGAAAGTGTGCCCTCACACGGCCTGCTTGGCATGCCCTTCGCAGTGGGAAAAACTCTTATTAAAGATCATTTCCAGCGGGATCATGTCAGGCGTTGGGAGAAAGTTGCGACCTGCAGACAAGCGAAACTGCTTATGAGAGGGCAACTAAGAGTTAGGACCAGAAAGCTTCTGGAGTTGCACAGAGGGGATCTGAGGGTAGCAGTAGGGCTCCTTACGGGTCATACAGCTCTCAGAGCTCATCTGTTCAAGATGAAACTTGCAGAACAAGAAGACTGCAGACTGTGCGGAGGCGATAAGGAGGGCGTCATCCACATTTTATGTGAATGCCCCCTATTAGCACTCCGTCGCTATAAAATCTGGGGCCAGGCTTTCCTGAAACCAGAGGACTTACAACAAGCGGCTGTCACCAGCCTTATTAGCCTAGTGAGAAACACAGGGCTGGGGCTGTGTGACTGACCGAAACTAAGGCGGAAGTTACAAAAGATCGTATGATTTAGGTGACTCTGGGCACTTTAAGTGACCAGCCGCACTTTTTCTATTCTATTCTATTCTATTCTAAATACAATTATAAAAAATTTCTAATGTAATTGACATATTGCCATGATGAATATATGATATTTAAAAAAAATTAATCCCAGTAAAGTCGCCAAATAACACCTGAACGAGGTAATTGAAAACTCGATTTTTTCGCGTTCAGGGATTGAAACACTTACAAAAGTCATACCCCTCCACACCCGCACACCCCCCCGCTATGGTGCATGTAGAAAATCCTTAAGAGGGTCTTCTGAGTCGCGCGAGCAACGTGAGGTCGAGCATTGTCATGCGGTAGTATGACTTGCCTGCTTCCTTACCCAGTAAATGACCTTTTCCGATCAAGTTCTTCGCTCAGTTTGTTCAGTTGTTGGCTGTAGCGTTCCGCAGTCACCGTCTGCCCTGTTTCCAGGAGTTCGTAATAAAGCACACCCTTCATGTCCCACCAGATACACAGGAGAACCTTCTTTAAGTGGATGGTCTGTTTCGGCGTCAATGTATTGGATTGTCCGGGATCAAATTCGGGAATTCTATTTTGTTAGTGAGAAGGTGAGAAATTTTCAGCTAGAAAACCCAATATGACGACCTTTTTTTAATCAACTAGCTTTAGAAATGTTAAAAATTCAATTCTCGGAACTGAAATAGTAGATTATGTCATCAGGCGATAAAAGTATCATCTGGCGAATGTGGCTTTATAATCCGAGCCGAAGGCGCGGATTATAATCACATTCGCCAGATAATGCTTTTATCGCCGTATGACATATTGTATTTTATGTCGTTAGGCCCGAAAACCGCGATCTAACCGAGCAACGCGAGGTTAGAATCGCGGTTTATCGGGCCTAATGACATAAAATTATTTATTTAATATCTCCAATATTTTGGGGTTAAAAAAGTCGTCATGTTATGTTTTCTATCCAAAAATTACCTAGCTATCTATCAAAATTATCACTGAAATAATTGACTAAAATTAATTTCCAAAAATAATATGAATACTTCTAATTAAGAAAAAATCCCTGAAGCTTCATCTGCATGTAAGACTGTTTTCCCCGAATGATTCGGCAAGAATGATAAAAAAAAGAAATTTTGCAACGAGGCATAGCAGAACGGTTGCACGACTCGTTCCACCCTTCTCTCCTTGACGACCCCCTGATGACTCCGTTAATGCATCTCTCACTGGAGATGGGTTCTCGGAGAAACCAATGGAGTCGAGAATATTCGGTTTGAACCCCTGTATAAAATAAGGGGGAAACAATGGGGGTACAACCGAATAGATTAATCAAACTTTAACTGAGCCAATGAAAACCGTGCAAATGTCGGGGATGCGAGGGGGATGCTTTAAATATCGATGTGTGACTGTAGTACCGACAATAAATAACAAAATGGGAGACAACTATTATTATTTTTTCTTAGTTAAATCAATCTTCGCAGCGAAACGAATTTTTTTCTCTTACGTTTCCTTAAAAAAAATTGATGTAAGATCTTGTATTTCTTAATTTTTCATAAATTATATAAATAATTTCAGTAGATGTACATCTCAAATGTCTTGCTGCATCAATCAAAACAGTAAATAAACTACAATAACTCGGCTAATAAAACAATTAATTATTATTTGCTCCGTTGGACTTGGGGAATTCCTCAAGAATTTTCAACATCGGTTTGTAAAGAAACTCATCAACATCCTTAGCAACTACAAAGTCCATATGATCGAATTTCTCATATTCAATAATTTGATGCTTTAGTTCGATGTCTGAAGAAAGCTCATCTATCAAATTCTGGACATTCTTCGAAGTGGACAAGGGATCGTTCTGTCCTTCGAAAATGATCGTTGGTGCTCTGATATTGGTTACATTGTACTCCGGAGCTTGGTCTTGCCCATAAGCTTCACGATTTGTTGTTCTCTTCGAATTTTTGAAATGTTCAAACTTTCCTATATCATAAAATCATAAATAACTCGAAAGATCTTTTTTTGACCCCCCTTACTTGCACACATAGGTCCACTCAACCCACATTTTTTTTCAAATATCTGAGCTCCTATTTTTCCGATGAAATGGATGTTTAAAACCCATGATAGTTGTCACATCTGTTACCGAAGTGCATAGCCATTCAATTTTCCCAAAACATCAACAAATGAAATTTTGTTCTTGAAAAGAGGGTTTTTTGACAAAATTTTGAATATGTCGTTCTTTCATTAAGACCTCAGAAGAGATCACATTGTATTTGATGGATCAAGATCTTTCACGAGGAGTATAATCTGAGGGTATTGTTTTGAAAATAGATAGTTAGTTTGTAGTAGCAACAATACATTCGAAAAAGTATTGGTACAGGGTCCATTTATCCCAGTGTGCAGTTTGAGGGTTAAATCCTTTTTCCATTGTTTTTCTATATTTTAGGCGGAGATTTTCCATTATGAAGATGACTGGATGATCAAGATGATAATAAGAGTTCAATTACCTGATCGGATTAGTTGTCCGTAGTGTTGAAACACCTTTGATGAAGTCCCCGCTGGGTAATGGCACATGAGATCGACAAATTCTTCGCTCTGTAAGCAAACTTAAAAAAGTTTCTGTCTTCTTCATGAGCAATGTTCATTGTGATAAAAACAAAAGTTGACTTGTACCATCAGAAAAAATTATCACCACAGACGAAGTTTTTGCTGAGACAAGTACACTGTTAGAAATTTTTGTCTAAATTTTTGTCTGAATTTTGATTGTATTTCAATTTCACTGAAATTTCAGGAAATCCTGTCATTGAAAATTCAGAATTTCGTGGAAAAATCAAACAGAACTGTAAATTTCCGCTCCATTTTTCCTTGAAAATAAATAGAAAACCAGACAATTCTGGTAAATACATTCTTGAATTTTCAGAACAGTGGCACTGAATGCGATTCAGGAGGAAAAATTATGAAATTTCAGATTTCACTGAAAATTCAATGCAATTTGACACTGAATATTCATATTAGATTGGAAATGCAAATAAATTAAGGAATTCTCGTCTTTATGCACCTTAAAATTTTCGAATTTTACAGAATTTTCAGTGACACCGGAAATTTCATGATTCCCCCCCCCCCCCCCNCTAATTCACATTCAGTGTCACTATTCTGAAAATTGATAGTCAACTGTCCATGAAATTTAATTTTTTTTCCAACAGTCTAAAAACGTTCGTTAATAATTTCATAACAGTTGATCATTGGAAAGTACAGATGTGCTATAATTAACAATAGATTGTTCTGACTGCAAATGTCCATTTTCAAATCTTCAACATCAAGTTTTCCTATCTACTTACAATATAAAACTGCTCCCGATCCTCCCCGAGCGCAAGTTCAAACGGATATCCACATAATCTCTTCGTTAGAAAATTTAACAAACAGAAATAATGCACAAATGCGGGCACAAGCTTATTCTGAATCGGATATTTGACTAATCCCCCTGGAACAATAATCCTAAAAAACTCGGTGAGGAGGTCTAGATAGATTCTCGTTAAGTTCCAGGTCTTCCAGTAAGACACTGCGCCGAAATGAATGACCACTGATAATTTATCGTTATATTCTGGTTTATCTGATAGCAGCATGAGGATCACCGTGGAGCCGAGGGAGTGGCCGACGTAGGAGAGTTGTGATTGTCGTGTGGTCTCAATGATATAATCGAACATTGCAGGTAGGTCCTGAAGTGCGAACTCATCCAAACTGCGAAAACAAATAATTCTTATCCAATTATGAGAAAATATTTCATTATTTGTTTACCTGAAATCCCAGTATTCTCTATCGACACGAGCTGATAAATTGGTGTGTCCACGACTGTAGTAAGTTCCTCGTAGATTACCGACCCAAACATCGTAACCGGCATCAGACAGTGAATAAACTAGGGAATAAAGTGATACAAATAATTGCAAAAGGTAATTGCAAGCTAAATAACTCGTAGACAATGATCAGAAGACAGTAAACAGGAATGGGATGACAAACTTCATTGTATGTTGAAGAACGTGGTCATGTTTGCAACAAATATTTTTTATTTCAGGCATTATATTCTTGCAGAAACAAACTTCATGTCATCAGGACAGAAATTGAAACATTAACTCTCAAAAATCTTTGTTCTAAATTTTGGTGCTGATGCGAAGGGTTCACTTGTGATAACAAAATATTCCTTGATTGATGAAAGTGTTGCTGCACTTGTGCAAATAAAGATTTTCTTTATAGCTCATCAAAGTTCTGTATTGATACACGGAGAAAATAAAATAGTGAACGTTACTATGTCGGAATCCGCATATAGTAAACGTTACTAAAGTTTTGTAAGTATTACTATGGACACGGTAATGGCTACTATGAAACATCGTAATGGTTACTATGGGGCATAGTAAGCTCCTCAATGGTAATAGGTACTATGGACATAGTAATAATTACCATATTACATAATAGAGCTTACTATGTTAACATAGTACAATTTACTATGTTACACTATTTATTCCGTATAATTGAAGTGTTGTTATTTCAATGAATCATAAATTTCGAACAAAAATATTGTAGAATTTAATAAGAAAATTTCCAATAAAGAGATTAATTTGTTTAATTTTTTTCAAGAGTTTAAAGCCTTAAGCGTCTTGAGTTTATGAACGCATCAGGCGGCAATCGTAAACTTCAACCATGCATTTTAGAGATACTTCTTATGTTCATAGGACCATTTTCCTTTCACATGGTAACCATTTCTACGGGGCATAGTAAGCATTACTACGGAACATAGTAACCACTACTATGGAACATAGTGAGCATTGCTATGGAACATTATAAGCATTGCTATGGAACATTGTAAGCATTCCTATGGAACATGGTAAGCATTACTATGAAACATGATAAGCATTATCATGGAACAGAGTAAGGATTATTATATAGGATCAGTTGAAAATCCTTTTACTATGTTACCATAGCATTCTCTCCTATGGCCATAGTAATTTTCACTATTTAATTCTCTCCGTGTACCATCCGCTGCAGCAATTTGCAGTAACGAATCAAGTCATGAATTCTCCTTTTAATCTTGTAGAAGATTAACACTGTACCGAGACTTCTGCCGTATCCGAACAGAACCCAGAGATCGGCAGTGCCACCTAGTGCAGCTTGCAGGTAAAATGGACCTTTCTGGGTATTATTGTTCTTCGGTGGAACTCGGAATATCGAGACGATGTATCCATCCTCGGTCGTGACATTGTGCCACTCCGCTTCATATCCAGCCTTCTTGGTCAATGCAAACTGTTCAAAATCAATTTACACAATTTGCAATTCTTGTCATGATGATGATTTTTGTTTGAACAAATTAACGTACGAAGTCGAGGGCGTAAAACTTGTCTCCACCCGCCTCTTCCTCAGTTCGAACGTATTTAACTTGAATATCGAATGCTGATGTCAATGGTTGTAAAGAGAAAGTCATCATTAATATAATTTTTACGTATTTCGTCATTTTTTTTACTAATTGGACGCTACTTTGGGGAATTCGGTGACCGTCTATGACACCACTTTTTGTAATAACTGGGGCAGTAACGGCTGTCACTTTGAACTAGTTACCGATGTTTTTTCCTTATCAAAGTGTTGTTATTGTCTTCGCAAAAACGTCGTCACTATCGCTTGGGTCGATTATTATTCATGGCAACAATTATTAACAGCACGAAGCAGGATGTCAGTGATGTTAGAACAAATGGAATTTTTCAATAATTTCAGTTCAAGTATCAATATTTTTTCACAGGAATTAATTTTAGTTTTTCACAAAAACAAATTAGAGACCTTGAATTTTACATTTTCCAAAAAGAATAAAGACTACTTTTTTCTTTGAACGGAGGCTTTATAAATAGGGATTCATTACCTGTGGGGAATTAGTCCAAAGAAGAGAAAGAGAAAGATAATTGATGAGTTTACTGTGATGGATTGAAGAAATGAAAATGACGTCTTGATGACCGCCATATTGATTTTTACTCCTGCACCCACACGTGTGCGGTAAGGTAAATAGATCCACATCTTTTATATTTCATTGTGTGTAATGAAGGGATCTAGATATAACTGACGCCCCTGGCTTTTCTTTCTCTCTTTTTTTTTCCACTTTTTCACACGGGGGTGCGGCATACAGAGAGCTTGGGAGGCCGTCACGCCTATCAGCTTTGTCGTTGCCGATACATCTGTCGACGTTCGCCGATCTACAGAATTTTTCATCTCACTTGTGGATCCATTGCATCAAGAGACCAACAAATCACCGAAATTCCCATTTTTTCAACAAAATTGATTTTTTTTACGTTACAAAACTGTGATAAGTTCAAAAAATGAATTCTAATGTATTGAATTAAAAAATACAATTTTTTCTTATAAAAAAAAATGTTTTACATATTCGTTGAATTTTTGTCAATAATTTAAAAAAAAAAGTACATTTGTTTTTGATTATTCAAATATAATGTTGAAAAAAAAATGAAAAAGTAATTTCATCTGGGGTTTTTCGAGTAGTTTTTTCCGTGGTCAAGACCTCACATATCGCCCTCTCAACCCCGTGATTCGCAATTCATAGCTCTCCGCCCCTGTACCAACTCCCAAAAGCTGCCCTTCAATATCCCACCAAGTGTGTGTTTTCCCCCTCTTGCAGCGGTTTCCCTTTGAAATCTACTCGCTCGCTTTATTCCCCCGTTTATAACACCAATCCCACAGTCGTTGCCTACTCCAACCTCAATGCACAATATCGACGCACCCTCCCTCTCCTTTTATTCCGTTCTTCTGCACGAGGATCTCACACGATTTTTGGACGAAGGGCATGCGGTAGGTCACGGCCTCACACGACATTTCGGAGGAATTTATATGGGAACATGGTTTTTTTGTTTCCTATTGTTTTTTTAAGGGATAGAAATTGTTGAAAATTTTTGAAAAATGATGAGATAATGCTGAGTGGATTTAAAATTTTTTCAAATAAAAAATCATACACCAATCGTAATAAAGTTTATCATTAACACATAGAATAGCAAAAATCACCAAATAAATTTTAATAATCAAATTGATGATACCTCGAATTTTGTCAAGAAAGAATTCAATCAAGAAATATATCAAAATCATGACAAAATATTTGAATATTACGAACAAAGCTTCAGATACAAAATTCATCATATTACTTCAATGAAACGTAAATGGAAGGATCCGAAAATGACACGAAATCAATTTATAAATTCACAAATGAATTCTAAAAATAATAATACTGAAACTCATTTGAACATTTGAAATATCTAGAGTAAACAAAAATAGGAGGAGAGGATTAATAATTTAGAAAAATGCACACAAATGTTCCCAAACATACCGAAAATAATAATCTCAGAAACGTTTTTTTTTATTATTATTTATAGTGATGGAACTCTTATGCCGAGTTATTTACACTGTCGTTATACAAGATATCTATTTACATAGCTGATTTTTACAACTTATTTATACTTGCAGTTTACATTCTTTTAGGTATTTACAGATTTCTTCGATATATTTCAGGAGAGCAATCAGATTTTTTTAGTCTGCCCAATAATTTGATTCTCTCACGTTCAAATTTTGGGCATTGCCATAATACGTGTTCAAAATCTTGGTTTTCTGCTCCACATGAACAACTTCCGTCATCGACTACCCGAGTAGAAATTTTAGTACTTGGCTGGTCGGGCCCTGGTCCGCTGTGCCGTAGAAAAGATCCGGTCCTGTTACGGTTACCACATACCCGTGTAGGAATTTGACCGGGGATTCAGCCGCAACTCGGGTACTCAGAACTCAGCCTCGGCTTGACGCTGTACCCGAGTTCATGGCGCATCATGCCGCTCCATACCGGCTTGGAGCGCAACGCCAATAAGACGGCACAACCCAGTGCCTGAGGTTGAGCAGTGGCTCAACGCTCGAAACTCAGCTCCGACTCAGTCGTGTCGTTTCGAGCGGAGGGTGGGGCAAAATCGAATTGGATCATTCCCCAGAATAATCTTAAAGGTTTCTAGGAATCTTCCTCCCCGGAAAAACTCTCGCAAAAAAAACCCATTGCCCCAAATAAAAATACAGAAAAATCGAAACAAGTCCATTTCACGTATCTTCATTCTTCAAAGAAAAAAAAAACAGAAATACCTTTTGTGAATCACTCAAGAATATCATTTTTGAATCGTCTTGATACAACTGATTCAATTGATTTTTAACGTCTCATTAATAACACAAAAATCTTTTCATTAAAAATATTTTGTTCATTGAAAATATGAGATGATTTAAATTTCAGTTTAACTCTACGTATGAAAAAATTTAATAGAAAATCCTAGCGCATTCGCTAGAAAATTCTATTGGATTTCTATTGAATTTTCTATAAGTTTTTTGCCGTTTCTATTGACATGTTCGATAGGAAAAATTCTATAGAAGAAGTCAATAGGAATCGATTTCCTATAGAATTTCTTCGGCTCAAAATTTTCCATCTTTAAATTGTATTCAATTTTACCCTCTTATAATTACTGATTTACTCTCCATGAATTTTTAGTTTTTTTTTTCAAACAGTGAACGTGTCTCACGGTTCAAACATGAAAATATAACTTTATAACAAAGTAGGTTTCTTGTCATTTCTTCAGTGACTATTTCTCAAGATGTTGCGAGTTGTATTGAAAAAAAAAAGAAATTCTGTATTATGTTTTTGTGAGTTATTTTACATCGTATTATATTCGAGCCTCGTCTTCGAGATTTTAATAACTTGTAGTAGTCCGCCTGCGGCTAGATGGAGCTACACGCCTTCATAGACCATAGAAAAAGTTGGCTGTGGTACCTCGGCGTTGAGGGCTCGCCATCTTATCATTGTTTTCGTGTGTGCGCGTGTGGAACGCACGCTTTTCAGAGTTTTCAGTTTGTTTTATTGTGATAATCTATTTTTCTCCGTTTTTACACAGTTTTTCCAAAGTCATGGATGATTGTAAGAAAAGGAAACATAAATTGTGTGGAATATCTAGAAATCTATAGTGAAATTGCAAATATCACGTGCATTGGCTTATCGACTTTTCCTTGGATAAATAATCGATTGGAAATAAAGGTAAGCGATGTTACACGTCTCTCAGCCTTTTTATACGCTCGGGTCAGATCCTAGAGACAGAACCAATCGACGTCACAGGCTTTTTTAGGCCGAGTTTATTTCTTGTCGAACAACTCAGCCTAACCTCATTTTACCTGGTTCTCCTGGTCCTAGAGATAAAATAGAGAGCAAGGAAATTAAAAATGAGATTGTTATAAATATGTCAGATGGATCTTCATTCCTGACATCCAGGACAGTGCGAGCAGCAGCTCAGATCCTGTTGTGCTAGACACATCTGCGCCTGACGCACTCACCTTAGGCTCCAAGCCTTGTTCCACTATTTCAATAATTGAATCTGCGCTTGACGCATTGACCCAAGGTTCCAAGCCTTGTGCTACTATTTCAATAGTTAAATCTGCGCTTGACGCATTGATCCAAGGCTCCAACCCTTGTTCTACTATTTCAATAGTTAAATCTGCGCTTGACGCATTGATCCAAGGCTCCAAGCCTTCTACTACTATTATGATAGATACATCTGCGCCTGACGCATTCAAATAAGGCTCTAAGCCTTCAATTACAAATGCAATTGTTGCATCTACACCTGACGCATCATTCAAAGCCTCAAACCTGCAAAATAATATTCCACCGGAACTCGATTCAGGAATATAGGAGTTCCTGGGTCATCGAAGCCTCATGATGCCGAAATCTCGTTTCAGAGTGATCTGGAAGCTCGTTGGAGTTTCTGGCTGGTCTCGAATTTGTTGATGCACAAATTACACAGATTTATGGAAATATCCACCAAATCTGAATTCAGAGATTGCTTTTATCTCCACCGAACCATTGATCCATAGAGATAAAGAATTTTTAATCAATCTCAAAAGACGCAGGTTTTGCCCTCGTAGCATTGGGGGCAACTCCTCGAAGTCTGCTCTAGGAAAAGAAACTAGACAATCTAGTCCTCTTCCAGGAGTTGTATGGTTCGAGAAAAATAATGAATTTTTAGTGCCCTTGAGGCTACAGCTCCAGTTTAATTTTTGTATGGCTTCACATTTTTCGAGAAGCTTGAGAAGTTTAAAATAAATCCTCAAAATTGTGTCAAGGTTTGGAGATTTATCCACCTTTACAGGAGAATCTAAATTCATTGGATTCAAAGGAGCTTGTTTTGAGACGTAGAGTTAAAACAAACGGTTCAAAAACCTTGGATGCCTCAGGTTGGACAACAGG